ATTGAAATCGGACTAAAATAACGGCCGATTCTCATATAACGGTAAATTTAAGAAATGCTTGAAACTTCAATATTTCGAAATTGAAGGACGCTAATTTACTCAAAATTGATACACCCCGGCTTACCATCTAGCGGAAGGTTTCGGAAGGGTGAAAAAACATATATTTAATACTTGCGCCGGGTATTTAATGTTCGGCTCCGCCCGAACTTAGACTTTCTTACTTGTTAAACTATAATTTTATTACTTATTCCTTGTCTTTTCACTATTTTTTTGTTTTCACTTTGTGGCTCTGTTTAATTTTCACATCACTATTTAGAACATTTGTTACAAAACTAATCAAAACTCGTTTTTTATCATATTTAATTTTTATCTGTTTTTATGGTCTTTGTTCCAGGTCACTGCCGGAATACCAGGACAAAGTGTTTGTATGCAATTATCGTTTCAAAAAAGAATTTACTAGTGATATTCAGTCGGATTGGACAGTTAATGCTCTTAATCATTTCAAGCCAATTGACTTGGTGAGAGAAAAATAAACAAAACTTTTGTATAATATATGTATAAGCTAACAACAAACGATAGAACTTATCACAACAGTTTCTTTAACAATTGTTATGTTATGTTAGTAGAGTTAATAAAATTTTTGATTCACTTAAAAGCCGTTAATTCTTATATTTATGAAAAAAGCTTTTAGTGGTTTTATAAAAAAGTAGCACCACCACTACCAACCCAAATAAGAATGGGTTATTGGAGTGGTCGAGTCTTATATAAACTATACTTATAGGAATCAAATTAAACATCTAAGTAATGGATAGCCTCCTCCGTAAAAAAAAAAACTAAAGGTCTGCTCAAATAGGCGTGGTAGGGCAATAAATATTGTTGTTATGTAAAAAAAGAAATAAAGAAAATGGTGATGATCCATCTGTGGTGATAGAACGTACCGAGAACACAATATTGATACTTTTCATGACTACTTAGTATTTTTTTTTATAATATGTATATATTTATTGAATCTTTCTTTCGAAACTAACAATAAGTTTTCAAATCTTACAAATTATATTTAGGGCGATTCATATAAACGCGTAAATGCTTCGTAACCACCTAAACCTCGTATACTTACTTAATTTTGTATGGAAAGACGGTTTATTTATTTTTATTTATTTATTAAGCCAATGAATATAAAAAAGTCTTCAAAGGGATAACAATCACCTTATTAGGCCACAGCTCGGGTAGTAATACCTTCCAATAAAAATTTGCGTCCACACTGAAATGAAGTCCACACTCTTCAGAGTTTTAGGATCAACACCTTTTTTGATAAGTATGTAACAAAAGGTAGAATTGAGTAGTCCACTTGCAAAGTGCGCTATGTAAATTTTTTTAGATTTTTAGTTTTTGGTGGTTAACGTACCAGTATTTAAAGTAGTTTCAGGTCCACTAACAACACAGTGCAAAATCTTTTTATATTCTGAAAAAAATAGCATCAAATGTTAACTCTTCTTCCAAAAGTCGGTATCATACTTACTTATAAACTTTCAAAAGTATACTTCTTCTGATGAACTTAGAAAACTGCTTTAGGTCGTATAGACTATTAATGTTATCTTAGTCATGTTATGTTAAGTTACAATTTTATAAGGCTCTTATTTATCCAAATTTTCATGTAATAATAAAAAAGATTCAATATAAATGTTACTTGTTGTCGTAGTCGTTTTTTCAAATTTATGGCTTTCTGTTATAAAATCACATAAAACTGTTTGCAAGGGGACTACTCAATTTTCCTCAATGCCAGTGTGTTTAGCAATATATTTTTTGAGATAACCAGTGGCAACTGGCTCGTAAATACGTCAAAATACTCTCTCGCTCGGAAGGGTTATTTTTTTACGAGCACTGCGATCGCTAGCGTTATTTAGATTATCTTCACCATAAACTCATCAAATCGAGCCCTAACCGCCAAAATAAGGTTGGAGTGACTACAATCAGGGTTTAGCACAATAGATCTTTTAGGTCGCAGCGCGAGTATACCCGACGTACTAATAATAATAATAATAATATGTAAATTAGTTTATTTGTGTTAATGCCATCATTTTTATTTTTATCGCTCCGAGTTTTAAAGTGAGGCGAAAAATATTTGTCAAATTTTTAAAACACAAAACTTAAAACATCAAAACGGCTAAGTTTTTTACGCCAAACTTTTAATTCAGAAACTGACAATAGAGGTAATAACGAGTTTAAAAAAGTTGATGGCAAATAAACAAGCAAGCAAGAAGCACAAATATGTTCCACCGTCTCATGTTCTTCAAGGCAAGATGGGCAAATGGACTTGTCATTTGCGCCTATCACAGTCAGGTGTTTGTTTCGCGTAGTGACCAGTCAGCAGTCTAGCAGGTTGTCTGCAGTGTCGTCTGCTCAGTGAGAGCAAAAAATTAGATAAACCTTGTGAGATTGAAGGCAACATGAGTTTTGCCCGCCTGCATCCGCTCGATGCCTCTCAGTCATTTCTGAGCGAAGTATTCACCCAGTTTCTGATCGTGGCTTCGATTGCCGAAGGTGGGAGTGCTAACACTGGTTGCGGACCGAGCAATGCCTGGTCTGATCCAACTCTGGCCAAATGATCAGATGCCTCATAACCAGGTACTCCAGAGTGACCTGGCACCCAGAGTAAAAAACCTCGTTGNAAGGGTTATTTTTTTACGAGCACTGCGATCGCTAGCGTTATTTAGATTATCTTCACCATAAACTCATCAAATCGAGCCCTAACCGCCAAAATAAGGTTGGAGTGACTACAATCAGGGTTTAGCACAATAGATCTTTTAGGTCGCAGCGCGAGTATACCCGACGTACTAATAATAATAATAATAATATGTAAATTAGTTTATTTGTGTTAATGCCATCATTTTTATTTTTATCGCTCCGAGTTTTAAAGTGAGGCGAAAAATATTTGTCAAATTTTTAAAACACAAAACTTAAAACATCAAAACGGCTAAGTTTTTTACGCCAAACTTTTAATTCAGAAACTGACAATAGAGGTAATAACGAGTTTAAAAAAGTTGATGGCAAATAAACAAGCAAGCAAGAAGCACAAATATGTTCCACCGTCTCATGTTCTTCAAGGCAAGATGGGCAAATGGACTTGTCATTTGCGCCTATCACAGTCAGGTGTTTGTTTCGCGTAGTGACCAGTCAGCAGTCTAGCAGGTTGTCTGCAGTGTCGTCTGCTCAGTGAGAGCAAAAAATTAGATAAACCTTGTGAGATTGAAGGCAACATGAGTTTTGCCCGCCTGCATCCGCTCGATGCCTCTCAGTCATTTCTGAGCGAAGTATTCACCCAGTTTCTGATCGTGGCTTCGATTGCCGAAGGTGGGAGTGCTAACACTGGTTGCGGACCGAGCAATGCCTGGTCTGATCCAACTCTGGCCAAATGATCAGATGCCTCATAACCAGGTACTCCAGAGTGACCTGGCACCCAGAGTAAAAAACCTCGTTGTGTTCACCATCATATTTTAGTCGAGACTTGCATTGCCGAACTAGTTCGGAAGTACTTAAATAGAGGGCTTATTTTAAATTGTGTGTGTGTGTGTGCGTGAACTCGATCAAACCTACATGGCTGTAAGCCGATCAAACCTCTATGTTAACCACGTCGGGGCCACACGTTAGCCGGAAACATGGCCTAGCAACCAGCCGCATTAGTTATCTTTTTACGCACACGCTCCATGGTGCAGGCACCATCGGCGGGTCCGAGCCTGTAGCGCCAGCTGCTTGCCAGACACGTTTATATTAAATTGTGTGTGTGTGTGTGTATGTGTGTGTGTGCGAACTCCATCAAACCTACATCTCTGTAAGCCGATCAAACCTCTATGTTAACCACATGCATGACACCCAAAAGAAAGTAACTACGTTAGAGTGAGAAAGTTCGCCAGACTTATGGTTCGGTGAAGCGGTGTTGAGTGTGTGTGTGTATGTGTGAATGTCCGACTTAAACCGTGTTTATTTTTCAGTTGTACATATGTAAATTGATAACTATATACAGGATTAAAACGGAATCGGTCATTTGACTAGGGAAGAGGTATAAAAGGACCACAATTGCGCAAACGCAATAGGAAACCTCGTGACATGTTAGAAAAAAAATATAAAAGCTCAGTTAGTCTAGAGTTAATTTCCGTAACTTAACTTAACTTAACGTTTTGGCCAACCTGTTATATGATAAACTGTGTTGGCGGTTATTTAAAACTTAACTTACCGTAAGAAACTTAAGAACCTAAGGTTCTTAAGTTATGGCCTTATGGAAATTGAGAGCGGTTTTGATATGGCATTTTAGCCAGCGAACTGTTAAACAGCTGAAAAAGAAAATACAAAAACACATAACAATCATTGATGATTTCTTACGGTAAGTTCAATTAAGTTAAGTCTAGACTAACTGAGCTTTTATTCAACCAATAACAATATGTATGTATATATCCTTGAGCTTACATACATATGTATTAGGGATGCCAAAATATCAGGAAAATTGGGATCCCGGGATTTCGGGGTATTTTTTCAAATTGAGTCATAAATTTTATGAATATGAGTAAAAATTCAGTATCAAGCGTTTAAACATACCATGAAATAAAACTATTTAAAATTTACGATAAACTGAAAAGTTGCTAACTTCACTTTTAATGAAAAATCATACCATGAAATAAAACTATTTAAAATTTACGATAAACTGAAAAGTTGCTAACTTCACTTTTAATGAAAAATCATATTTTGATATAGGAGGCTAGATAAATTAATATTGCATCGTTTCGAAAAGGGTAAAGGTCCTTGTTTTATGTTTTCTCGTTTATATTCAATGAAAGGAAAATTTGCTAAGGCCAAAAAAAGCTCCGAAAATTCGATAAGTTCGAAATCTTTTAATAAAGATCAAATCCCTCTGATTCGTATGGAGTTTTGCTTTGCTTTAAACAGGCAAAATGTTGTATTCAAAGTTTTGCGAAATACTTGAAGAAAATGGCTATACGAAGTTTTTGCCTCTCCTGTACAATTTTTAAATTGGGACTTAGCAACTTTGCACTTTACGCTAGCGGTATTTATTTACTCAATCAGACAAATTTTAAAGTAAAACATTTTTTTAATTGTATTTAAAAACCATGTGATTGAGGAACGTATACATCACAAAAAATAATTTAAATACCAGGTACTTTTGAAAGTAACGATTAATAAAAAAACATAAAACAAAAATATACAAAAACAATTTCCCTAAACATGTTTATTCTACTCTATAAAGAAATGGCGAATGGAGAATTTTTTGCCATTTTTTCGCAATTTACTAGAAATTTTGAGGGTGTACGAGTCAAACGTCAGAATCGGATTCAGCGGATCGAAATACATGTTGGTAGGTGGGTCTGGTTAAAAACACACACCCCTTTTTTCGGTGTTGTTATTATTGCACTTAAAATGTTTTCAAACGAGCAGCAAACAATTCAAAGCGGAGTCTTCTAAGCTTGACCTGCAGTTTTTACATACAAAACCTACTGATGAAAAACATATTTCGGCATCAACACTTTTAGGCTGAACTGCCAAAAGGTAGACATAATCCATTTGAAGATAATGACCCCTATCTCCTCCATTACAAAATATTTGAACTTCTTTTACCAGCACGTTTCTCGTTTTTCGATTTGAGGAAGTTTTGA